ACTTGTCAACCTTGGGTGCGCATTGTTCTCAGTTCCATGACTGAATCATCGTTGGTTAATTAGATTCCCGTGAGCAACCTTATGTGTACAGTCTGTTTGACTACATCAAGTACGGTTGATTCACGAAGTACCACTGTCGCTAATTGGGTGTTGCCCGCCTGAAAACACTGCACTCCATGACGCGTTTCGAGGTTATTTCCTCTCATCAGACAGAGATAGCAGGCATCGAACCCGGGACCATTGGGATGTCAGTTGTGACCGCTACCCCTAAGCCACCGGGTCACGACGGGCAAAGCTTGGCGCAACGGTTAATAACAGATTGGAAAGTCAGTTTGAAGTACACGTTGTGTGGAAGGATTGCGACACGCAATCTCAAAGTGGAGTACGTGCGTCGATTCTGACCATGCCTTGGTACGCTGTCGTTTTTCCATTACCTATACCAGGTGTCGTACCAAGCGTCTCCCTCGATTGGTAACTGAGAAATTATCTCAGTCCTCGGTCAGGCAAACCTTCCAGGATTCCCTGTGTACCGGAATTTTGCTCTGTTGTCCTTATGACACTGATTTTCAGTGGAATAGATTCTCGACCGCCATGCACGACGTAGGGGCCTCTGGTTGTGTCACTATCAATCGTCACCACACCAGTCACTGGATATCCGAGTGGTCGGTGAATCTATTTGAATCCAGAAGAGAACTCCCGATTGGCTCTGAGCACAATGTAACTAGACGGACTATTAGGCACGAACTGAAGGGGAGGCTGCGTGCTGACAAGGAAGCCTGGTGGACCAGTCGGGGTCGAGAAATGGAGTAAACAGGAGCAGTAGGCAATTATCGCAAGCTCTTCCAGTTGATCCGCACCACTGGTCCGAAGAAACCAGGCGTCAGTTAGACGATCAGAGAGCGTGGGTACCATGGTTCACAATAAGTAGCGGCTTATGGCTCATTGGCGGAACAGTTTGGAGGGCAGTTCCGTTGTCCCCCTGCTTTCGTACCTCATCCTACTCAGATGATGCAGGATGAGCCATGGCCAGTTAGTTTAGAGACTCCATCGGAGGCTGAGGTCCGAAATGCGGTCGCAGCCCCCAATCCTTTTCGTGCTGCTGACCCAGGTTCCCTCGCACTATTTAAGGATTGTGGTGAAGTCCTCTGCAAAGCACTCACCTCCCTGTTCGAACAGGTCTGAAAGGCAGAGGTCATCACAACTAACTGGAGTGAATCGATTATAGTGGCAGTACACAAGAAGGGCAATCCCACCGATTGTGCTAACCACAGGGGTATTAGCCTAACGCCATTTGTGACAATAACTGGTCTCCACCCTCCTTCACTGCGGAACGGTAATCACGGATTAGATAAGAGCAGGTACGTTTCCGCCCAGGACGTGGCTGTATAGGCCGTATATTCACGCTGTGGCAAGTGCTAGAGCAGCGTTACACATACCGCCGACCGACAATAGTTGTGTTTCTAGACTTCAAGAGTGCGTTCGATTCCCTCGATCGATGCATTCTGTTCGAAATACTTGCACGAAAATGTGTTCCCATGAAATATGTGAACATTTTTCGTGCTTTATGCTCGAACACTACAGGCTGCGTCAGCGATGCATCAGCAGTACGCTGGTACGCAGTACCGACGCTTCGCTGCGGCGAAACAACCACCGGTTGCACGTGGACGAAGGATACTACGAGGGTCTCCCTGGCCTTACGCAGGCTCGAATCCGCGCCATCAGATTACAACACAAGCTTGCTACCTTTAGGCTACGGGCCATGTCAGGGTCTACTTTGGTTTGTCGGATTCCTTTCCGACAACAAGGGGCGTTCGTCAGGTTGTACAATTTCCCTATTTTTGTTCAACTTCTTCGTAGACTGCATCATGGAGTGTTCCCTTGCGGAGACTTACGATTCAGACTGTCTGGTGAAACCCTGTTTGATCTTGACTATGCAGACGATGTTGTCTTGCTGTTTAACGATGGGGCGACGCAATTAACCCTCAACAATCTCTCTAGAGTTGTCCATTACTTTGTCATGCACTTCGCACTTGCAAAGTGCTATTACAGGATCACCTGCCACTTGCTGGCGAATAACTCGATGTAGTTGATTAATTCATCTACTGGCAGCTGTATCAGCAATGATGAGCGCGTATCTACTAAAGTGAGTTCACGTATTGCAAAAGCCAGAACTACCTTTTTGAATCTGCAACATTTTTGGCGACAGAAAGAGGTTTCCCTCTGTCTGAGAGGCCGTGTTTACAAGACCACAATGAGGGCCGTCCTGCTCTATGGGAGTGATACTTGGTGCTTTTGGTTTGAAGATTTGAGGCGCCTTGGAGTTTTTGATCATCGCTGTCTGCGGAGCATTGCTGGTGTCGGGTCGCACCAGCCTGTCCGCAACGATTATATGCGTAGGCAAGTACTAAGCAGTGATAACCGAGCTAATTCTGTAGAACAACAGATAGCACTGAATAAGTTGCGTTGGCTTGGTCACGTAATACTTATGTCTAGTCACCGCTTACCTAGGAGGGCCATGTTTAGTCTGCCGGATGTAGGTTGGCGCAAGATTCGAAGTGGACTAAAGTTGACTTGACAGCAGGAAATGAAGTCACTGATGACCAAATTCAGTGCCTTCGGTCCGTCTCGCCTTCCGAGCTGGAGTCCACGTAACTCACCTTGTGCTTGGCTTGTGATGTTATAAAACGTAGCTTGTAGTCGACACCAGTGGCTTGCCTGCTGTCGGACTTCCTGTTTGGTGCTGTGTTATCTGCGGGGTACTGGCTGATTATAACGCGTGGCAGTGAAAGCCGCAAAGAAGCTGTCTCACCCATGTCGCCTTATCTTTACACGATAGCTTGCTGTTTGTGATGGAATGTTGTTGACAAGGTGTAGGCGCCATGACTCCGCATGTTTGCGGCATCCGATTTCGGATGTGCCTGTCACTGTGGCTAGCCAAAGGACGCCTGCGCCTACAGAGGGACCATGGATGGCTTGCGCTGCACCACCCACAGCTCCATCCACACACACCATATCCAGTGTAAACCCGAAGGAATAAGACCGGGATTCATGTGGTCGTGAGCCACATTTCATCAACTGAGGTGGCCCGCACTCATTCGCAGCAAACACAAGCACGCTGTATTTGGGAATCAAGCGTACACAAGGCGGTGGCTGGACCGTAGTCCGCTCCACAATGAGTGCATGGAATCGCGCTTCGAGCATAGTACAGCCACAAGGACCGTGAATCCCGTCCCCTCCAGCAACGACCAACTGTCTCAAGGAGCTATTATGAATAAGGTAGTGGGTAATAGACAGGTAGGCACCTTGTCAACATGCAAATCAAGCGCAGCCACACCGGGGATATCAAGCAACAGCCGTTCACCGAAGTGGAGGGTTTCGGTGTGGCTCTCTCCTATCCCTGCACTCTACGACCAACGGTTTCGTCTTTGTTTAGACTCATCAGGTAGAGATAGCTGAGCTAGGAGTGGAACCCGAGGCATAGTGCTTGGCGGCTATCGCCACGATCACTAGGCCATTGAGTTCCACGAACAGTGTTTGACACAGCGGTTAGAAGTAGGTTTTCGGGGTTTTTTTGGAGCACCCGCCGTGGGTCTTAGATTGCGACACGCAATCTCTAAACAAAGACGAAACCGTCGGTCGTAGAGTGCAGGGATAGGAGAGAGCCACATCGAAACCCTCCACTTCGGTGACGGTCCCAGCGACCGTTTTGGCAGAGGCTGACTTCCAAGTCAACCGCCGCCACTAATGAGATTGCGTGTCGCAATCCAAGACACACGGCGGGTGCTCCCAAAAAACCCGAAAACCTACTTCTAACCGCTGTGTCAAACACTGCTCGTGGAACCCAATGGCCTAGTGATCATGGCGATAGCCGCCAAACACTATGCCTCGGGTTCCACTCCTAGCTCAGCTATCTCTACCTGATGAGTCTAAACAAAGACGAAACCGTCGGTAGTGGAGTGCAGGGATAGGAGAGAGCCACACCGAAACCCTCCACTTCGGTGACGGTCCCAGCGACCGTTTTGGCAGAGGCTGACTTCCAAGTCAACCGCCGCCACTAATGAGATTGCGTGTCGCAATCCAAGACACAAGGCTGGTGCTCCAAAAAACCCGAAAACCAACAGCCGTTCAATTGAAACGACAAGATGAAATAAAATAAATCCAATATTGCATACAGGTACGGTGGCATAACTCTTTGCTTAATTAGCATATGAAATAAGTTGGTTAGCAACGAAGCCGCGATAAGTAAGAAATGTCCACTAGTTACTAAAAATGCCACAAACGCAACAAAGTTACCGAAGATAAACGCAATTCGCGTAAGCAACATGGCCAGTTAATAGCAGATTATTCAGGTAGGCAGAACAAAGCAAATGAACTGGAATGAAATTTATGCAGCTTAAAAAGACCTAGTTTAAGTGCAACTTAGTTTAGTCCAACTGCGGTGAAGAAGCATCAAAAATGCAACATGAGCCTCAGCATGGGACACTTACCGCAGCCATATTGTTGAAGGATTACATCATGGAAGGAGTTGATGGTAACGTGACTTAAGTCATATACCTGATACAATCGCGTGCGTCTTGATAAAATGATGGAGTATTCATCGAAAAGAGTAGGATTTATAGAAACCGACAATGCAAGTGACCTGAACGGATGGACGACTGACAAAGTACGCGGTAACGGAAAAAGAATGAAGCGAGTAAGCGGCGTAAACGCTGGAAAATAGTTAAACAGCTGAAACCGATGTCACCTGCACGCACATTCATAACATTCATTCGGAGTGGTAAAAAAATTTCTGTGAAACAAACGCTGTAAGGACGAATCCAAACAAGCACGAAGGACATGGAGTGAGTAAGGCCGGGACCGCTCCACTTTGGACACAGTCCCATTGATCTGAATGACCGAGGTCTACTACTTCAAAACAGGCAGAAGTCATAACTGAGATTATGTATCGCAATCCGAAAACAAAGCGGGTACCCAACATTGAAAACAGTGCCAGAAGCACACTAGTTGAGAATACAAAAGAAGCAGCAAAGGGTGATTGATACGACACTAACCGACATCAGCGCTGAACGGTAGCCCCTAGCTATGTCCAAATGAGCGTTGCACGCTGTATCCACTGAGCAATTGGTGACATCTGAAGCGGCGTCTAGTGTGTCCAATGTGCTACCGCCAATGGTTGCAATAGTCGCACCGGTGCTACTGGCTTGACTAGCGGGATTCTCCGTCTCTAACAGGGAAAAGGGTACGGTATTTCCGTCTTCGTCTATTAATTCAGTAGAATGTGACAAATAGGACCGGTTGTGTTCTTCAATTGAATGCGTCGGTGATGATGGAGGTTCATGCATGGTTCGGCGACGTTTTGTAACGTTTTCCGACGACTCGGAGGCATTGGTGTCAGATGAAGGGGAAAAGTGGCGGCGGCTGCGAGAAGGTGAAGCGGAAGCGAGCCTTAATGGGGAGTAAGATCGACTTGTCGAACAATTAGGCATATATGGAGGGCACCAGTCGCCCGATTCTGTTGCATGAGGCACATCGTAATTGTCTGCAGACTGATCGGTAGTTCGCAGCGCATGAATTGACTCTGCGTCGAGATGAACAGGACTGGTCTCGATAGGATCGAATCGAACGAATCCCCTTCCGTCATTTCTCTCGGTGGAGAACTCTTCTGAGTCGCATGAAGTGACATTGTGGATGGCGGAAACAGACTCCGTGTGACAGATAAGTTCCGAATCGAGATTGATATATATATATATATATATATATATATATATATATATATATAATTATATAGTATATATATATATATATATATATATATGACTGGAAAGCCTATGGTGCGCTGAGGCTGGTTGTGGCCAGATCCTGACAGATGGCCTACCACCGCTGATACTGTTGTGCCATTTGCTCATGTCCTTGGCGCCTCCTCGTGGCTATCGCTGGGTGGGATTTGGGTTTCGCCCTTCTCCCTGCTAAGATCCAGGACACCAATCCGCATGAGTCAATGAACTGATCATGTGTTAGACCCGCTGCCTTTCGGGTGTTCATTTAATCGAAGGCTTTGGCTGAGGACCCGAGTCGTTCTCCGGTCAGAATTGGGCGCCCTGGCAGTATCCTAGTCCATCCATCTTCAAAAAGGGCCTGCGCACAATCTGCTCCAACTACAGAGGAATAAGTTTAGTTCCCGTCGTTTGCAAGCTGCTGGTGTCCATCATACTTCGCAGGCTATCCCCAACACGCGAATCGTTGCAACGAGAAGAACAAGCTGGGTTTCGCCCTGGTCGCGGCTGCATCGATCAAATCTTCACACTTCGCCAGATCCTCGAGCTCCGCCATGTGTATCAGAGGCCAACGATTGCTGTGTTCCTGGATATCCGTACAGCCTTCGATTCTGTCGATCGTACAGTACTGTGGCAGTGCCTTCTGAGGAACGGTGTCCCCGAGAAGTTCGTCTCCATACTGCGCGCTCTATACAGTCTGACCTCGGGCATGGTTAGGGCTTATGGCATGCTTTCGCCTACCTTTGTGGTCTCCAGTGGAGTTCGACAGGGATGCCATATCTCTCCATTCCTATTCAACTTTGCCATTGAGGATGTCCTGAAGAACGCTCTGAGCGATTCGTTGAACGCTGGCGTTGAGCTCCTCCCAGGTAGTCGAGTTGTTGATTTGGATTATGCTGATGATATCGTCTTGCTGGGTGACGATCCACAGGTCGTCCAACTTGCATTAAACCGCTTGGTCGATTGAAGCATCAAAGTACGGTATGTACTTTTCGCCATCCAAATGCAAGGCTCTCCTTCAAGACTGGCAGGTGCCTCTGCCTGCACTCACGCTTGCTGGTGAGACACTAGAAGTTGTGGAGAGCTTTGTCTACTTGGGAAGTTGCATCACTGCTGGCGGGGCTGTTGGAGACGAGATTTCGATGCGCATCTCGAAAGCACGCCTCACTTTTTCTAGGCTGAGGCATTTGTGGCGTCGCCACGACATTCGTCTCTCCATCAAAGGGCGGGTCTATTGTGCAACTGTTCGTGCTGTACTGTTGTACGGATGCGAGACCTGGCCCATTCGTAAATGTGACTTGCGCAGGCTATCCGCTTCGAGCACCGCTGTCTGCGGTCCATTGCCCGTGTGTGGTGGCAGCACCACGTAAGCAATGCGGAAGTTAGACAGCGTGTCTTGGGACGTGGAAGCCACTCGCTCGAGGAGCTCATCTCACTGCATCAACTGCGGTGGTTGGGACACGTATCGCGCATGCCTGTTCAGCGTTACCCTCGTCGTGCGTTGTTTGCACTTGCTGGACAGGGCTGGAAGAGACGGTCTGGTGGACAGCCTACAACATGGAGAAGCCGCATGAAAAAGTTGGCGAAACAATTGGCCTCGGCCGGTTGTTGTCGACTACCTGGTTGGGGTCCGAGAGATGAGGATACTTGCTGGTTGAAGACCTTGGAAGTTATGGCTCAAGATCGATGTCAATGGCGGACGTGTGCATCAGTGTATTGCGGTGTCCCTGCTTCCTCCTCCTAAAAAAGAACAAACTGAAAAAAAATTTCAAAAGCTGTGAGTGGTAAACTTGAAAAGAAAGCATTTCTTGTTGCTTTTTTCTTATTATTCATATTGTTTTCCTATTCAGCCATGATTCCGATGACACAATATCTGCACCACAGATTGTGTGTAATATATATATATATATATATATATATATATATATATATATATATATATCCTAGTCCATCCTCTTCGGAGGTTAGGAAGCGGTCGATGGCCCACTTCCCGTAAAACCTAGACAAGGAAGACAACAGGTCTACGGGTTATAAGCTCACAGCTCGATTGGCGTAGAGTATGAGCGCCACGCATTGTCTCTGACGGTGGGAGGACACCTCTGGGTGTTCAGTGGTTTGCTACTGCCCGCCTCAAGCCTGGCAGCTCCTGGTCAAATTGGTGCAAACCCGCCAAAACCCACCTGCGTCTGGCCGTCGTCGCAGGTGCGTATCCAATTGCGGTCGCAAAACATATGATAATTGTTCCAGAACCTCAAAGGCTGCGTGTGACGGCCGTAAGCAGATCCCAATCTGTCTCTGCAATCACATTCCCGAGCTGGATCTGCTCTCCACTGCTTTGTGGTTCAGGCTATTGAGCCAAAGACTCCAAGCGGAGTCGCTTAAGCAAACCTCCAAAGCACTAACTGCCTTGTGGGTCAGGCTATTGAGCCAAAGACTCCGGGTGGAGTCCCTCAAGCAAACATTCAAACAACCCACTACCATGTGGGTCAGGCTATTGAGCCAAAGGCTCCAGGTGGAGTCTCTCAAGCAAACTTACGAAGCACAACGACCACCTCGCGTGCGATTGCCCACCAATGCAATCGTATGCGTGCGCGCAAGGCACTCAACATCGGGTGCTGGAACGTGCGCACAATACTGGACCGGAACTCCAGCGAGCGCCCCTTGCGACGCACTGCACTGGTCGCAATGGAGCTGGCGCGCTACCACATCCATATTGCGGCGCTCAGGGAAACTCGGCTCGCTGAGCAAGGTAAGTTACATAAAGCAGGTGCTGGCTACACATTCTACTGGGTGGGCAACGCCGCCTCAGCATCACGTGAACATGGGGTCGGATTTGCAATATCCGATCGCCTTCATGGTCATGTGGTGGGTGAACCAATGGGCATCAGCGCGCGACTGATGACTGTTCGCCTACGACTCGGAAGAGGTAAGTTTGCTACTTTTATAAGCACGTACGGTCCGACCATGTGTTATCCTGATGACACGCGTGCTCAGTTCTACACTCGACTATCCTCCGTGATACGGTCTGTTCCGAGGAGCGACGGACTAATTCTGCTGGGTGATTTCAACGCGCGCGTTGGGCGTGATGCATCAGCGTGGACAGATGTTATCGGTGTGCATGGCATTGGTTCAGCGAATGCGTACGGTGACAGGCTGCTCTCACTGTGTGCCACTCACGGCCTGACGATCACGAACACTCGGTTTGCACTGAGTGCCAGTGATATAGCAACTTGGACGCACCCACGGAGTGGTCACGCTCACCTGCTCAACAATGTCATCGTACGTCAGCATGATATGCGTGAAGTGCGCATGACACGTGTACTGCGTGGAGCTGAGTGTGGCACTGATCACAAGTTGGTGCGGACCAAACTGTACATATATTTTCGTACATCTATGTATTGCACTCCCGCCGTGAATCGGCGTAAATTTACCATTCTCTCCCTCGGTACTGTGGCGAAACGTACTGAGCTGGAGAAATCGATTGCTGCACGCCTGTGTGATGTGGAATGCATAGCCACAGTGGGCGACCTGTGGTACCACATTGGCGACCAGGTGACAGCTGCTGCGGAGGAGACCATCGGGCGCGCAAACTGTAAGCGGCCTGATTGATTTGATGCGAACAATGCGACGATCGGCGCATTGGTGTCGGAGAAGAATGCAGCATTTGCTGCACATGTTGCAGACCCCAGTGACTTGGGGAAGAGTAGTCAGTTTCGCAAACTTCGACGGCGGCTGACCCAAGAGCTCCGTCGCATAAAAAATGCATGGTGGACGGAGAAGGCGAAGCAGATGGAATGCTATGCCGAACGCTGCCAACACAAGGAATTCTTTGACTCCTTGAAGGCGGTGTATGGACCGAGATTGGAGTCGCTGAGTACACTGATCGGTGGTAGTTCAGGCGCTACCTGCACCCAGACTGCAGAAATAATGCAGGTCTGGCGAAAATACTTCGGCTGTCTCTTGAACAACCGTTCAGAGATCGACTGGCCTAAATTGAACGGCCTGAAGCAGCACGATGTGAAGGCGAGTCTGGCGGACATGCCGACACTGGATGAGACGCAGAGAGCATTTGCTCAGCTGCGAAACGGCAAGTGTGCCGGAGCCGACGGGATCCCACCTGAAGTATAGAAACACGGTGGACCCGCGTTGTTGACTGCGCTGCACCACTTGGTGCAACGCGTGTGGATTGAGGAAGAGGTGCTTGCTGAGCTGAAGGATGCCCTTGTGCTACCACTGTACAAGGGTAAAGGTAGCAAGCAATGTTGCACGAATTATCGTGGCATCAACTTGCTGAGTTGTGTGGGCAAGGTGATTGCCCGAATCCTGCTCAACCGCCTCATCAGTTAGGTTGTGGAACCTAATGTGGCGGAAGAGCAATGCGGATGCCGTTCGGGTCGCAGCACTATATATATGGTGTTCGCGGCTCGTCAGTTACAGGAGAAGTGCAGAGAACGACACCAGCCATTGTACTCGCTTTTTGTTGATTTCACCAAGGCATTTGATACGGTGAACCGCGAGGCATTGTGGCTGGTGTTGGGTAAGTTTGGTTGCTCGCGTAAGCTGGTAAGTTTACTTGAATGTCTGCACAGTGGTATGCGAGCGAGGGTGCAGCTGAGTGAAGAGACCTCGGATGACTTTGCAGTTGTCTCTGGTGTGAAGCAAGGCTGTGTCTTAGCTCCTGCTCTGTTTACTATATATCTTCATGCAATGTT